ACACAAGAAGAGGAATTAGCTTTAGTGAGGGGTAGGAACATCTCTCCTGTGACCAAGGGAAGGAAATAGTAGGCTTGATGCTTCTCTGCTTTGTTTTAACTGCAAATGTGATACACATGTCCCCCACAACCTAGTCTGAATCACTGATAATAATGACCTGAGGAGGAATAAGCTCCATCTAGAGTGTAACATGTAGGAGGAAGAGCAGGGATCCTTTTATCAATTTGACAACACGAGCTCCTTGAGAGCAGAAATTTTCTTTTGTATTTGCATTTGCCAGCATACATAGTTTTATTCATGTCATTGCAAGAATAGAATAATTTTATTATTTTTGTTTTATAAGCACATTTTAATCTAGAAATCCTTATAGAAAATAAGTCATAGTTTTATGATGTCTCATGGATTATGGAGAAAAGATTTGACCTTTCTCAGCTAGGTGATGCAATGGTGGGTGTTGGACCTGGAGTCAGAAAGAACTGAGTTCAAATTCAGCCTTAGATATTTACTAGCTGTGTGGCTGTAGGCAAGTGACTTAACCTCTGTCTCAGTTTCCTCATCTGTAAAATGGGGATAACAATAGCAGCTACATCACAGGATGAGGATAAAATGAGATATTTATAAAGCTCTTTGCAAACCTCAAAGCACCATATAAATGGTAACTATTATTGTTGTTGTTGTTATTATTAAAAGGAGAAATAGAAGTTCAATTCTCAAACCTAGCTTAAGGTGCCTTATCATAGGTCTGGACTTGATAGGGCCCTCCTAGAGAATTCTGGCCATTTTGTCTGCAAGAGTATCATAAGAAACTTTGTCAAATCTCTTGCTGAAAACTAGTCCAGTGAGAAGCAAATGAGGTTAACCTACACTATCTTGGAATGCTGAGTCATTCTTTTTCTAGGCGCTTACAAACCATTCTAGAATTCTGCATGTAGGGAGATTTGTTTGTCTGTGGTTTTATAACAACTCAGTGTGCCATGATTCCTCAAAGATTTTCAATCATGCTGTACTAATCACATCTTCGGATTCTTTCAGCACCTCATTTTAATTCATTTGGGCCAGAAGATGAAGCACTTAGAGCTATTTAATTCAACATATTTTCTAAACACAGTTAAGTACAAGGCACTTTGCTAAGCACCAAGGACAAGAACCTGCCCTCAAGAAACTGTCCTCAAGGACAGTTCTATTAGGGCAGGGGGCAGTTAGGTGGCCCAGTGCATAAAACATCTGGCCCTGAGCCAGAAGGAACTGAGTTCAAATCTAGTCTCAGACACTTACTAGTTGTGTGAACCTGTGCCAGTCATTTAACCCTGTTCGTCTCAGTTTCCTCATCTGTAAAATGAGCTGGAGAAAGAAATGGCAAACGACTCTAGTACTTCTGCAGAGAAAACTCCAAATGGGCTCATAGAGAGTCAGACAGACTGAAAAATAAATCAGCAACACTGGGGTTAGGAACTGTCATGAAAGCTCCTTGAATATCTTAAGAATCCACTGATTCTTAATCATGTTTCTTCTATTCTTGTCAGATTGAAAATCACCCTTATTGAGAGAAAACTGGTGCAAAATGAGAGTTGGTTTTATTGTCTTTATTTTCATTTCTTGGCATTTCACTATCTCCTCCAGGCAGTGAACCTTGTACTTCCTCTTTGGTGATCTTTTAGTTCTGAAAATTGGGGGAGGGGAGGAAAGGGGAGAGAGAGAGAGAGAGAGAGAGAGAGAGAGAGAGAGAGAGAGAGAGAGAGAGAAGAAGAAGAAGAAGAAGAAGAAGAAGAAGAAGAAGAAGAAGAAGAAGAAAGAAGAAAAAGAAGAAGAGGAGAAAGGAGAGAGGAGAAAGAGGGAGAGAGGAGACAAAAGAGGAGAGAGTGAGAGAGAGAAGACCCTTTTTGCTCTTCTTAGCCTTCTTCTCAAACCTTACTGAAAGATAGCTGAAATTTAAGCTTTTTCTCTCCCACAAGCTGTCCCTGCTTCTTAGTCTTAAAATGGTGGTTTACTTGAATAAGGGTTTCCATTAACACTTAAGGGTTTACTGTAATTTATCACCCCAACACTTTAAAAACAACTAAAAGTAATGCAATTAACTGACTTTTTGCTACTTTTATGCCAAGAAATATGATATCACTATCACTATCTGTAATCATTAGCTATTGGTTAGCATATGTTCCTAGCCTAATTTACATAAAGAGTACACTAATTATACCCTCCCCAGTTGTCTATTTTGTCTATGTGTGGTCCTATTTTGCTGAATGAGGATTTTAGCTACTGACCTTGCAGCGCCAGCTGAGGTAGATTCTATGCTCTTTGGCATCTCAGTAAAGTTAGGCAAATTAACTAAGCAACAAAAGAACCATTTCTTATGTCCCCTCTTCCTTGGTTTCCTTCCACAAGAGAACTAGAACCTTCTAATAAATCATATTCAACAAATCCTAACTTACAAGAGGACTTGATGTTCTTAAAATGCACACGCTTGAATCAATCTAACATTTTATACAGTTTCAAAACAAACACAGGACTTCATCTTTGAATCACAAAAAACAAACATACAGTTTGGAAATAATAATGATTTAATGACAAAACAAAACTATATCACAGTGATCATAATATTGAAGCATTGTCCTTTTTCATTTAACAACATGGAGAAGTTATTATTGTTATCTATTTAATAGGTTTTAAAGGTACTGGTAAAATTTACTTCTGAACCAAAGTTAATTCACTGATAACTTTAAAAAAAAAAAAGACCACCATTGTGCATGAGGATACATAAATTGAGCACTGCAGACACATTATTTACACAAAGAAGCTAAACGGATAGTTCAAATTTCCCAAACTTTTAGAATCTCATCAACGTATTACTCCACCTATCTACTGAATGTTACACTTCAGACCAAATAAACATTTTTTAAAAACCCTTATAACTATGCAAATCTAACATAACATCTTCTAAACATGACATTTACTTCAGGAACAAATGGTTTTCTGGGAGTTGCACTCACATTGAACTCTTATCTAAACTAGATTTTATGAATTCATAAATTTATTTAGTTATATATATATACCTCATGATAAATTCATTAGGCCAGATTCCACATGTTCTTTCTGGCCAAATTGACCTTGGCATAAATATTCTGAAAGTTAACAACTATATAATTAAATGATACAGCTATTCTGGAAATAACCATTTGTTCTAGCTGACTAAAGAAATTGGAATAGGGCCCACTGTAGCTACCACCTCACGACAAATATTTCACCACAAACTAGAATAAGTAGTATCTTTAGTAATACTCCTTCGAAAAAAAAATTCAAACATGGTAATGCTAATCATCGTCAGGGGGTCTTAAAAAGGTTTTTTTTTCCACTGGGTACACCTAGTTCTATTTGACACAGTACACTTTAAAACCTAAAATCTGCTAAACAATTCTTCTCAGAAGTGTAGTCAACTTTCCCTACACTTCAAGGAAAATGGTCCCTTCACTCAGGTCACATTAACCCATGTCTTTCATTGAAATAATTCGCATAAGTATTTGATGCCACTTTATAAATTAGACTGCTCTGATTTTAGAACATCTGGGATAGCAACCAATGTGGTCATAGATGCCTGCCTCCAGTTCTATGACTATGGCTTGAGTTCTTTCAGGTACATCCTGAGCAAAGCCTTCAGCTCTGCATGTGGCTTGCTCCTTCCCCCATGCCTACCCACAGATGCCACACAGCAGTCGTGTATGTAAACCTAAAGTCTTCATACTTTATTGCTACTCAGCACAGGAAAACAGAATGTGCACGTTCTCAACTCTCCATCTCCCAAAGTTGAAAATTAAATTAAAAAGTCAGTGTCCTTTGAAATTGGAGTGGTAGGACATGGGGCAAGGAAGGCAAGGGGATCCAAATTTTGTTTGGTAAATCACCCTTTCTCTTCACCTTACAAGAATTAGTGGAAAGGGAGACCTATTTTCTCATGACAGGGAATGAAGGCTGAAAGAGTAATGGGGTAAAAGATCAAATATACTGAAGCAAAAAAATGAAAGGTCTCTAGTACTTTTCACAGAAGAGTGGAGGTTCAAAAACTCAAGGACTAATAGTGTGTTCAGAACAAATGGACAAATTCTCTTATGGTTCAAGTTTCTCATTGTTTTCAAAGAGAACTCCACAGCAGAAGAGAGCAGCTCAGCAGAATAAATCTGGGGCAGGAGTGGAGAACCTGCAGCCTTGAGACCACATGTGGCCCTCTGGGTCCTCAAGTGCAGCCCTTCGACTGAGTCCAAGTTTTACAGTTCTGTAAAACCCCAGGTCTGTAAAACTTGGTCTCAGTCGAAGGGCCGCATTTAAGGACCCAGAGGGCCACTTGTGGACTTGAGGCCGCAGGTCCCCACCCCTAGTCTGGGGGCTTTAGGATCAGGAAGAGTGTACAGAGGAGACAGATATCTTGAATTACACATTAAATAAAAGAGGGTGATATTAACAGAAAAGAAATACAAGAGTGTGGATGAATTGAGGGAAGGTAGCAACAGAAATGTCAAAGGTGGATACACACTTCAAAAGAGTTTCACTTGGAGTGACTCACGTCCTTCCATAAACATAACAGTGATGATTATGCAAAGAGAAGCCAGTTCATCATTAACTTGTGGCACAACTCTCTGCTACTACACAACGTAGGTGTACTGTATTCCCATTAGGTTGTCTGAGCCTGAAAGGCTCTGTTCTTTCTCTAGGTAGACACTGTTGCCTTTGAGCTCCGAGAAGGCTTAACTTGGACACGTCTGTTTCTTTCCTGAAGCCTAACCCCCCAAGTTGAAGTATCAAATTTTATTATCAGTGTTAAGAAAAAAAATTATAAATAAACCAAAGGATACCTATTGATGAGGAAAATAGACCAATAAAATGTAATTAATGTGTCTGTTAATGTTAGAGACACAAATCATAAATAAGAAAACCAAAAAAAAAAAAAATTTAAATGAACTAAGCTACAAACACGGCAAAGTACATTAAATTTCTCATTTTTGTAGCATCTGTTACGAAGGGGATGACATACAGTCTAAAAATTCATGGCATACACATTGGCAAAAACCGTACACCATAAGAATGACAAGGCTCGAGGGGACAAGGCTGACAAAGACGACCCCGAGGGTGACTTTCTTAGAGACCAGCAAGTAGATCCCTAAGGGCAAGGAGCTGAAATATAGCAACCCTAGCAACCAAACCAACACCCGGATCGACGTCTGGAAGAGCAGAGAGGTGCAGTTCCACACCGTCCAGTTGTGGGACACGGCAGCCACAGAGTCACAGCTGGTGGGCCTGTAAAACTCCACCACGGGGGTCGAGCTCAGAGACTGAGGGCTCTCTCTCTGTACTTCCATGATGGTGATCACTAGGCAGTTGGAGGAAGTGTGGGAAGGGCTGACCAGGGAGGCCAGCCTTTTGGGGGTCAGCAGCAGCTCCGTGGGATTGTCCGGCAGGCATTTCTTCCCCTTTCCTCCACAAGTCAAGTTGACGAGGATGTTGTTGTCATCGGGGAGGCTGTTCACCTCGTCATCGGGCAGGCAGGTCTCAAACCGACAGAAAGGACACACGATGACACCCTGAGGGGAGTCTCCGAAGTCGATGATCTTGTAAAGGCATTTGGCACAGACGCGGTGACAGCATTCCAGTACTTTGGGTTTCCTCTGCCTCAGGTTGTAGCGATTGTAGCAGATCTTACACTCGAGCTCGTCGGAGACGGGAGACTCGGCAGGATCCTCTGGAGACTGGCTGGTCATCTTTGGGCTGTCTTCCGCGGCCGCCTTTACTCGGGGTTTTTCTAAGGGATGTCTAGGCGATCCCTGAGAGCATCATACCATTCAAATCAAGCAGGATTTGCACGTTCATTCTCAGCTTCTGCATCTGACTTTGTTGCCCAGACTTAGGTGGAAAAAGGCAACGTGAAATTTCTGTGAAGGAAAGAAAGATTCTGATAGTGAACAAAATATTAACAAAGAAGTTTTGGGGATTTTTTAAAGTTTACATACAAAGTGGGTGCTTCAATTTATTAAATTTATTTATTTAAAGGGTGGCACAGTGGATAGATTGCTGGGCCTGGAGTCAAGAAGACTCATCCTGCTGGGGCCAAATCTGGCTTGAGACGCTTCCTAGCTGTGTGACCCTGGTCAAGTCACTTAACCCTATTTGCTTCAGTTTCCTCATCTGTAAAATGAGCTGGAGAAGGAAATGGCAAACCACTGCAGTATCTTTGCCAGAGAAAACCCCAAATGGGGTCACTAAGAATTAGATATGACTAAAAAAATGACTTTACAACAATAATAACAAAATGCTTAAAAGGATGCTTTCTAGGCTTTGATACACAGAAGCAATTTTCATCGAACACTAAGCTTGTTCAGTGTGTAACACATCCCTGGCCCCAGGACAGCAAAGAGTCTACGTTTGAAAAGCTCTCTTGGGAGGCAGCTCAAATGCCTTCCAATCAATGATGACACGTTGGTGGATGAAAGAGTTAACGCTGAGTATGCCGTGCAGCAATAAATAAAGAAGACAGAGACAAGAGGGGAAACTGTCCCAGAAAGTTTAAAAAAAAAAACTCTGGCTTCATTAAAAAATCTCAAGGGACTTGAGTCAAAGACACAATTTACTTGGTGTGATGCCAGTAACTCAAGAGCCAGAAGTACACACAGTAGGAGCTTAAATTAAATGTTTGATTGTCATCCAAGTAGTCTCTTAGGGAGTTGGACAGCCCACCAAAGAAAGGGCTCTTCCAGGTAATGTTTAGAGAAATTTAAAGGGTGCTAGGATGAAAAAGAAAGCTAGCAAGGTGGAGCAGTGGACAGAGCACTGGGCCTGGAGTCAGGAAGACATGAGCTCAGCTGCGTGACCCTGGGCAAGTCACTTCACCCTGCTTGCCTCAGTTTCCTCATTTATACATGAACTGGAGAAAGAAATGGCAAAATACTGCAGTATCTTTGCCAAGAAAACCCCAAATGGGGTCACAAAGAGCTGGATACAACTGAAAACGACTGAACAACAACAGGATGGAATGGAGGTGAAGACCAATGGCCAGAAAATTGTACAGAACAGATGGTTCTTTCTATATCAATGCGAAGTAATGGGGCATTCAGTTGAAAATCTTTTTTTCTTTCTGCTCTGACACTCAGTGGAGCATTCTTAAATACCTAACAGGCTGCATACTCATTCACCTAGTCAAGAATGGAACAAGATGTCCCTATTATAAACAAGGAGAGCCTAAGTCTTGAGAACCAGAGGCTGGCAAAGAGGATACTTCCAGTAGTTCTATTTTTAAGAAGGGGAAAAATACATACACATACATATACACATGTATAAGAGTGGAGCGGTAGCTACAGAGTTGGTCTCAGAATTAGGCATACCTGGATTCAAGTGTTGCCTCTTGTCATATACAGGCTATGACCAACCCTGAACAGGTTCCTGAACCTCTCATGGTCCCAGGCAACTCTCCATGATTATACATTATAGAGAAGGTATTGATCTGAATTGACAGAAGGATTTTTCTCCTCCCAATATAAAACATATTTGTTGTTGTTCAGTCACATCCAACTCTTCATGACCCTATGGACCAACTGTCTGTGGGATTTTTTTTGGCAAAGATGGAGTGGTTTGCCATTTTCTTCTCCAGTCTTATGCAGGTAGGTTTAGTTAAGTGACCTGGCCAGGGTCACACAGCTAGTAAGTGTCTAAGGTCACATTTGAACTCTGGTCTTTCTGACTCCAGGCCTAGTGCTCTATCTACTGTACCACCTAGATGCCCCAATAAAACATATAAGGAACAATAAATAAATATTCATTTATAATAAATATTTATTTATAAAAATAAAAAATAGGAAAATCAAGTTTCCTTATCCCAATGAAATCACAAGTCTATCTTTATCCTCTCCTAAATAGTCATAGCTTAGCCACGCACAGAAAATAGGTAGCATGTCATGGTCGAAAGAACAGAGACCTACGTTAAGTCTTGGTACTGCCATTTGCTACCTGTGGGACGGCAGTAAAATTATTGAATATTTCTGGTTCTTAGTTTCGCTTTCTATAAAAAGAGGAGGCTGAACTAGTTGATACCCAAGATTCCTTCCAGCTTTAAAGCCTAAGATCTTCTCCTAGTCAGTCAGCCTTAGACTACACATATTAAAAAAATGAACAAAATTAAAATGTTTCCTATTGGTCCTCCATTATCATTAGTGACCTTGGATACATGGTTATGTGCATAAATTCAAACAGATAGTCAACTCCCAATCATCTTTAGTGATAGAAGGGTACAAAGATGTGAGATGCGGGGAAGGGGAGGAACAAAGCAATTTCTATCTGGCCTTGGGATATTCGATTTATTTTGGCAGCAGATTTAGCCTTTTAATTATGCCTTACTTAGGCAAATGTAACGATGAATTTGTATTTCTGAGCATACTCCAAGCGATTATGAAGGGCTGCCAGAACCCCGCTGGACGGCAGTGGGCAGTCGGTATGGAATGAAAAACTTTCCACGGATCATTAGGGAGGCAGAGAAGTGCGGTAGAAGGAGTTTTGGCTCTGGAGTCAGCAGTCCTGGCTTCAAATCCTTCCTCTAATATCTATGTGATCTCGAGCAAGTCATTCAAGACCCCTCTGGGGCTTCGTTTCCTTGTCTATAAAATGACGGGGTTGGACCAGATGGCCCTTTGGGGCCATCAACGATCCCCATGATGCGCATTAATGGCAAGCAGCTAATCCAGAACAACTGGATGATCCCAAAGCCGTGTATGTTTGGCTCTGTAATCCATGACATTACTCTCACAGAACCTTCTTATTTACTTTTGTCTTGGGCTGACATTAAAACAGAGATTGTGTTCGCTATGCATGTAACAGCTGGCTGGCTGAAGATGAGCTCAGGAGAACAAAGTTGCTATGAAATTTTTAAATTTTCTGCTCATTAAAAGAAAAGGGACACACGCAACCTGCAAACAAAGGAAATTGAGAAATGACAGTGTGAATGTAAGTATGTATGTATGTTTATGTATATATAAATACATATACATATGCACATATACACACACATACATATAATTTACTACCACGTAAATAATAACCATCCATGAATTATTATCACTGACTATATGTTGACTGATGACGCAGAACTAAAACACTTTCTCCCTTAATCTATTGGACCACTATCAAATCCATTTTTCCATACACTCTGTTCATGACTTGGCCTCCTGTTTCTGATCCTGTACCTATATTATACATGACATCAGCATCTGGCAGCTGAATGCCAAATACCAGTGTCCATTTTCCACTGTATTCTCAGGACAGTAGGTTTTCTAGAGAGTTCATGAGGTGGGGGGACAGGAAGAAGCAGTACATTCCCATTACCACTCTCAGCCATGATATGAAAGAATTAGCTGTTAGTAATACAGACTGTGACCTAACTGTGTAGGGTATCTCTCTTATCCCTCTCCCTTACTGATGGCTGAGCACCTGCCACCTCCCTTCTCTCCTCTGACACTGTCACCACTCTGGTGCAGGCCCTCATCACCTCACACCTCGATTCCTGCAATACCCTGCTGGTGGCTCTGCCTGCCTCAAGTCTCTCCCCACTCCAATCCATCCTCCACTCAGCCACCAACATGACTTTTCTACAGCGCAGGTCTGACCATGTCACTCCCTCCTCAACAAACTATAGTGGCTTAGGATCAAATACAAAATCCTCCATTTCATGTCCAAAGCCCTTCATATCATATTCCCTTTCTACTTTTCCAGTCTTCTTATATCTTATCCCTATCACATGCTCTTCAATCCAGTGACACTGGCCTCCTTGCTTTTCCACAAACAAGATACTTCATCTGTCTCAGATTCGGGCATTTTCTCTGGCTGTTCCACATGCCTGGAATGCCCTCCCTCAGCTCCACCTCCTGGCTTCCCTGGCTTCCTTTAAGTCCCAAATGAAACCTCACTTTCTACAAAAAGGCTTTCCCCACCCCTCTTAATTCTGGTGCCTTCTCTCTGTTAATTATTTCCTATTTATCCTGCACATAACTGGTTTGTACATGCTTTTTCACTTGTTGTCTTCTCATTAGATAGTGAGTTCACAAGGACTGTCTTTTGCCTTTTTTTTTAATACCATTATGCTTATTTAGCACAGCGCCTGGCACATAGTAGTTTAATAAATGATTACTGACTGACTGGTGGGTACACTTCTCCAGAGAACATGAACACTGATCCTAATCCACCACGTGATTTTACTACTTCTGACCCAACTTCCCCTCTCCAAAAGCTTGAATTTCCTCCCAGATCAGACCTGGGGTAGCAGAATTTACAATAGCAGCAGTTTTCAGTGTTATCAGCAAGACTGAGTGAGTCAGAAGAGAGGTGGGGCTTTGTGGGAGAAAGAATGACAAAATGTGTAGACATGTGGGTATAAAGGCACAACAGAGAGTGTGACTCAGTGTATATTCAATAGATTGTGTGTGTGTGTGTGTGTGTGTGTGTGAATGAGAGACAGAGAGAGAGGAAGACAGATACAGAGAGGGAGAGAGAGAGAGAGAGAGAAGATATATAAGTAGATATATAGGATGTGCCTAAAAGTCTTAGTGAAATTACAAGATATTAATAACTGGAAGACCTTGAAGACTTTGGAGGACACCTTGTATAGACGTACGTACGTACATACATACATGTGAACAGATATCCTACATATTTGTATGTGAAATATGAGACTTCCAACATATTCACAATTATCTTAATGGTATATAGCTAACTCTTCTATAGTGCTCTAAGGTCTGCTAAGTGCTTTACAAGTATTATCTCATTCTCTCCTCCCAATAACCCTGAGAAGTAGGTGTATTATTATGCCCATTTTACAGATGAGGAAACTGAGGCAGAAAGCAAGTAAATGACTTGCTCAGGATCACATAACTAGTGGGTGTGTCTGATGCTGGATTTGAATTCTGGTCTTCCTTAACTTTAAGCCCAGAGTTCTACCCACTGTCCCACTCCCTATATCAAGCTGGTGATATTACTACTTTTCTGTTAAACTCTTCCTACCATCAACAAGGTTTAAGTTTAGCTTAGTGGCAATGGTAATATCTTAGATTAGATTATCCATATCTTCTTGCCTAAAGAGCTGTTAACATTAGCGACTAGCTTTGTTTCAAGTAAGCGTATCAGTTTGGTTTGTTGTCGTGTTTTTTTTTTTTACTGAAACACTATAGGTACCATATTGCCATGGTATGAGGTGGTTACATTTGTTATGATTTTATATATCCAAAACATTCCAGAGAGGGGACTGCTAATAAGATGGGAAGATGTTCTACAATGTTGAGATACCCAACATGAAATTATCTAATTTAGTTAACAGATCAATGTCTAGCATACTCACTTTGTTATTTTGAAACACTCCATGGAGAAGGGCCTCTGAGAGTGCTACTTCCAGCGGTGAGTGACCAGTGGCCTTGTTTGGCCAGAGCTTCAATGGCATGCCCAAAAATTTAGCCGTTTACAAGCAACACCTCCTGGAACGACACAAAAACCTACAATCAGAAAATCTCTGCAGGAGCCTAAGAGAGCAATGAGGCTAACTCATGGCTGATTCAGAATCCCCTCTCCCCAGTAAGTTATCATCCTGCCTTTTCTTCACAACCCCTAGTGAGGGAGAGGCAAGGCTTTACTCCCATTCCACTTTCTCAAAGCTTTATTTAGTAGGAAGCTCTTCCTTCAATCAAGCTAAATCTGCCTCTTTTCAACTTCTAAGCACTGAAAGGCAACATGGAAAAATAACTTGGTGTTTGAACTTAGAATCAGGAAGATATGGGGGCAAATCCTTCCTCTGATACTTTTTGTGAGGCCATTGAGAAGTCACATAACTTATCTGTGTCTCAGTTTCTTCATTTGTAAAATGAAGGTAATGGTGTCTGTCGCACCCATTACCCAGGGTTGTTGTGAGGCTTACAGGAGATAATAATTACAGAGAGTTCTATAAATGTCAGTTATTATTACAACTGCTCTGAATTCTGCCTTCTGAGGCCAACAGAACATTCTTGCACATAAAAGCCCTGCAAATATTGAAGACAACTATCATTTCCCCACCTAAGTCTCCTCCTCCAGTTTAAACATTCCCAGTTTCTTCAACTGATTCTCATTCAATGATTTTAATATCCTTCACAAACCTGATTGTCCTCCTCCTCCTTAAAATTAGGTATCCACAACTGAACAAAACATGTCAGATGTGGCCTAACCAGCACAGACAGAAACAGGATATTTCCTTTGTGAAGGTTAGCCAAACAGATGGGTTCCTTCAAAAATAGATTGTTCCAAAGAATTAGAAGGGGGGGGGTAGGCCCAAAAATTGAGGAATGGTTGAAGGAATTGTGGTACATAATAGGCTACTGTTGTGCTGTAAGAAATAATGAAAGCCACAGTTTCAGAGAAACCTGGAAAGACTCGTATGAACTGATAGAGTTAAGTGACCAAAACCAGGACAATTAATAATACAATAACATCAGCGTTGCAAAGACAAACAGCTCTGAAAGATTTAATAACTCTGATCGATGCAATGACCTACTATAATTCCAGAGGGCTGAATATTAAGCATGATAGTCATCTCCTGTCAGAGAAGTGATAAAGTCAAGGTTCAAAGTTGTGCGTGTGTGTGTATATATATATATAATTTATATATATATACACACTATATATATATAATTTATATATATACACACATACATACATATACATGTATACATATGTGTATACATGAGTGAATGACAGGGCTGATGTTGGCATTTGTTTTCCTTATCTATGCATATTTGCCAAAGCAGCTTCATGGGGTTTTTCTCTCTTTCTTGCTAATTGAGAAGAGGAGGAGAAAGTAAAATTTTGTTAATTTAAAAATAAGAAGAAGCTAGGTGGTGCAGTGGATAGAGCTCTGGCCTTGGAGTCAGGAGGACCAGAGCTCAAATCCAGCCTCAGACACTTTACACTTACTAGCTGTGTGACCCTGGGCAAGTCACTTAACCCCGACTGCCTCACCAAAAACAAAAAAAAAATAAATTTTTCGTGTCCCCCATTTATTTCACCTGGGACATAGTATAGTCAGAATGTTAATTTAAGCCTACAAAATATATTGATATTAGATTTCCAGGGGTGGAGCCAAGATGATGGAATAGAAGCAGTTGAGCTCTCCAACATTCCCCTCCAAACAACTTGAAAATAATTCTTCAAATCAATTTCTGGAGTGGCAGAGCCAAACAAAAGGTCAGGGTGAGACAGTCTTCCAGCCCAAGACAACTTGGGCAGTTGGAAGGAGACATCCGTAATACAAGGAGTGGAGGCTGGCCCAACGCTCAGTAGTGTTACTAGGTAGTAGCAACAGAAGCAGCAGCTGCTTCGGGGGCTCTGAAGCCAGACATGGTACCTAGTCAGGAAGAGATTACAGGGAACTCTTGTGCTAGTACTGGACCCAGACCCACATGCTGTTTAGCAAAGGCGAAAAGGAGCATTTTCAGTTAAGAGAGAGCAAGGGCTCTTAGGAGCAGTATCATTTCTGGTTCCAAGGGAGCAGGAGTCTTTCCTGAGTAAGGATCAGAGCACAGACCGAGACAGCAATGACCACACCTCTTCCCCAATCATATCACTTTGGAAGCACCAAAAACTTCCAAACCCCCAGAACTAGTTTTAAAAGCTGTGGTGCAAAAAAGCCTGAAGTTTGGGACAGTGCCCCTCTCAATATTCCATGCTGGGAACAGAAACCAATTTTAACATAAAGTTTATAATCAAGAAATAGGTTGAAAAATGAGCAAAAAAAAAGGAGCTTGACCATAAAAAGCTACTATGATGATAGGGAAGATCAAGACACAAATTCAGAAGAAGAAAATGAGGTCAAAACTGCTAAGCCTCAAAGAAAAATGTGAATTAGACACAAGCTGAACAAAAATTCCTGGAAAGCAAGCAAAAAAAGTATTTTCAAAATCAAAAGTAGTAGAAAAAAATTAGGTAAAGAAATGAGAGCAAAGGAAGAAAATTATAAAAAAAAGACCAATTGACAGCTTGGTAAAAGAGGCACAAGAAATACTGATGATATAATATCCTAAAAAAGAGAATTGGCCAAATGGGAAAAAGAGGTACAAAAATTCACTGAAGAAAATACTTAAAAATTAGAATTGGGCAAGTGGGAATTAATGACCCCATAAGACATTAAAAAAATAAAACAAAGTCAAAAGAATGAAAAAATAGATGAAAATGTGAAATATCCCATTGGAAAAACTGACTTGGAAAATAGATCAAGGAGTGATAACTCAAGAAGTATTGGACTAGCTGAAAGCCATTATCAAAGAAAGAGCCTAGACACCATATTTTAGGAAATTATGAAGGAAAACTGCCCCTATATCCTGGAACCAGAGGGTAAAATAGAAATTGAAAGAATCTACTAATCACCTCCTGAAGCAGATCCCAAAAATGAAAACTCCCAGGAATATTATAGTCAAATTCCTTATACATACATAATTCCACGTACATATAGCTCCATCCCCATTTTTATCTCTTTGGGATACAGACCTAGTAATGGTATTGCTGGGTCAAAGGAGAACATTGTACACATTAACAACAATATTGTACAATGATCAACTGTGAATGACTTAGCTATTCTGATCAATACAATGACCTAAGACAATTCTGAAGGATTTATGATGAAAAATGGGCAGAGAAGTGGCGCACTGGATACAGGATGCCATGATTCAGGAAGTCAGGAAGACTCATCTTCCTGAGTTCAAATCTGGCCCCAGATACTTACTAGCTATATGACCCAGGGTGAGTCACTTAACCCTCTTTGCCTCAATTTCCTCTTCTATGAAATGAGCTGGAGAAGGAAATGGCAAACCACTCCAGTATCTCTGCCAAGAAAATCCCAAATGGGGTCACAAAGAGTTGGACACGAGTGAAAAATGACTCAAGAACTACTACTATGATGAAAAAAACTATCTAACTCCAGAGAAAGAACTGATAAAGTATGAATGCAGATCAAAGCATACTATTCTTTACTGTATTTTTCTTGTGGGTTTTTTTTTTGGTATGTGTTTTCTTTTGCAACATGACTAATATGGAAATATGCTTTGTATGACTTCACACATATAACCTATATCAAATTGCTTGCCTTCTCAAGGAGGGGCAAGGGGAAGGAAGAATATGTAATTGAGAATAAAATAAGAGAGAAAGAAGGAATGTTAGCTTAGCAATAAGACAAGAAAAAGAATTGGAAGAACAAAAATAGGCAATGAGGAAACAAAACTATCACTCTTTGCAGATGATAAAACAGTCTACTTAGAGAGCCCTAGAAAATCAACTACAAAACTAGCTGAAACAATTAACAACTTTAGCAAAGTTGTAGGACATAAAATAAATCCTCATAAATCATCAGTAGTTCGATATATTACCAACACAACCCAGCAGCAACAGACAGAAAGAAAAATTCCATTTAAAAAAACTGCAGATGTTATAAAATACTTGGGTGCCTACCTACCAAGATAAATCCAGGAATTATAGGAACACAATTACAAAACACTCTTCATACAAAGATAGATATAAACAATTGGAGAAATATTAATTGCTCATGGGTAAGCTGAGCCAAAGGAATAAAAATGACAATGCTACCTAAGTTAATTTACTTATTCAGTGCCATACCAATCAAACTTCCAAAGAATTATTTTATAGAGCTAGAAAAAAGTAATAAAATTCAACTGGAAGAACAAAAGGTCAAGAATATCAAAGGAATCAATGAAAAAAATGTGAAGGAAGGCAGACTAGCAGCACCAGATTTCAAACTATATTACAAAGTGCTAATCATCAAAATAATCTGGTACTGGCTAAGAAACAGAGTGGTGGATCAGTAAAATAGGGTAGGTACTCTATTCAGAGTAGTAAATAACTATAGTAATCTAGTGTTTGAAAAACTCAAAGATCCAAGTTTTGGGGTAACAACTCAACATTTGACAAAAATTGTTGGGAAAACTAGAAAGAAGTTTGGAAGAAACTAGGCATGGGTTAATATCTCCTATCACATATCAAGATAAGGTCAAAATAGAGAAATGATTTAGACCTAAATGGTAATATCATAAGTAAATTGGAAGAGCATAGAAAAATGTCAGATTTATGGAGAAGGGAAGAGTTTACAAACAAGCAAGAGATTGAGAGAATCATGGGAAGTAAAATGGATCATCCTGATTACAGGAAATTAAAAAGGTTTTACACAAACAAAACTAAAATGCTGCCAAAATTAGAAGGAAAACAGGAAACTAGAGAAAATTTTACAAGTTTCTCTGATAAAAGTCTCATTTCTCAAATATATAGCAAACTGAACCCAATTTATAAAAATTTAAGACATTCCCCAGTTGATAAATGGTCAAAGAATATGAACAGTTTTCAGAAGAAGAAATCAGAGGTATCAGTCACGAGAAAATGCTCTAAATCACTATTGATT